GGTGTCTTTTCTACCATAAGCACAGGCTGCTGTGGCTGCTGTGAGGGCAGCCCAGGCATCAGAAGAGTTTCATGGGTAACTCACATAGCACAAGGGTAACATAATTGGATGTGACTGTTCTGGGGAAAATGGCCTGTAGGGTTTATTAGGAACATATTCCAAATCTCGAAATTATTTCATAACCATAAACCAAAAAGCCAGGGCTGGCCAGATAGCTCAGCGGATTAAAGCTCCAGCTTTGGTAGACAAAAGGACTGGTTCAATCCCTGGCTCCACATGTCCTGCCAGCCCTGCCCCTGGGGTGCGCTGAGACAGCAATTGCGACTGGGCATGGTGGTGTGCGCCTGTAATCCTAGCCCTTGGGAGGCTGAAAACAGGAGGATCACTGTGAATCTGGACTGTGTAGTGAGACCCTGTACTAAATAAATAAACCAAAACGCCGTTCTTGCCTGTGTGCTCCACAAACAGAAAGATCTTCCTTATGGTGCCTTTATGTGAGTCAAAATCTAAATGGAATTGGCAAACATCCTATAAAAAAATCAATAAAAAAGTGTGGTATAATCACATGATGGTATGTCATAGAGAAATGAAAACCAGGAAGATCTTGGTTAAATAAAATGTATTGGATAAGTCTTAATAACAAAACATTAAGTGATAAGGGCCTATAAACATATATAAACCATGTTATTCTTTGTGTAAGATTAGAAAAGCTGAACCTTAAGCCACTTGTCATTTAGACATTCCCATCCACGGATGAGCACGTCAGTGTCATTTCCTGAAGGAAGTGTGATGAAGGCAGAATTGAAGATGGGCACGAGTCTGAGCCAGAAGAGGAGGAGGAAGGGCTGCGAAGGAAGGTGGCTGGCCCAGAGCTGTCGGTTAGTTTCCTGAGCATGTAGACTCAGCAGGCTCCGTAGCACTGTCTCATCACTGGAAATGGAACTGTGAGGTTACAGATCAAATGTAGATATGTAATGAGGCTATGAATTTGTAAAACAATTGAGTTCTCTTAATACAACATCTACAAAACTTAATTTTTCAATTTTAATTAATATTGTTACTGAAAGTAAAATTCAGCTGTCTATTAATGCAAATAAAGTTGATATTTTACTTTCAATTTTTAATCTAATTTTCCATATTAATAAAATAAATTCATTTCTGAAATTAAGTTATTTAAAAATAACTCATTCTAAAAAAAGAAGCAATTGCTTAATTGAATTTTTTGGCTATTGTTATAATGCTAAATTATGACCTTAATTATAGACATTCTTAACCACCTCTGCTTCAGCACCAGTCCCCAAGGTCTAACGGGTTAACACAGGCGTTCTACAGGGTTGTACAAAGCTTGAACTTGCTCATTCTGATCATTTCCAGAATCCACATCAACCAAAATCACCTTGTTTGCATATATATATATTCAGAGCCTAACTAGTGCATTTACCTGTTCCACATGGAGTTTTTCTCCAATATCCAAATTTAATAAAATTTCATTCATTGCAGATCAGCTATAGTCTAACTATGAATCAGATTCTGGGATCAGTGTTACAATGTAATGGCTAATCCATTTTTTTATGATTTCTATAACTTTCTTCACCTAATTTTTCATCTCAAAATGCATTCCTTGTGAAACATGTTGTGACTGACTTGAAAACTCATTACTTAGAGCAAGGATCCAGAACCCTGGGTGGCTTAGAATATCAACCCTGATGTATACTGCAGCATGTTAGGGTTTAGCAAATGCCATTAGAATCATTGTGGATGTAGCGCAGTACACATTAATTAAAAGTAAATGTTAATGTTCCAAAGGAAAAAAGGCATTTGTTTATATGTAATATATGAAATAATGTAGATATTGGATACCCATGAAAATATACATTATTGATGTCATTTAGTCTAACTAAGGCTGACAATTTTGGTTACTGTGGTTTAGATTCATAACATTCCATTAGGAGCAATGGAAACAAGCAACAGAAGTTTACAAACAGAATTCATCCTTCTGGGGTTTTCTGATTGACCCCAACTGGAGTGCTTCATCTCTGTGCTTGTCTTCATCTGCTATGTGGTGACTCTGGTAGGACACTCAGCCATCATCATTGTATCCTATCTAGACCCCTACCTCCACACCCCTTGTACTTCTTCTTATCTAATCTGTCATTTTTGAAGCTGGGTTATACAAACTCCACTATCCCGCAGATGCTGGCAAATCCATGAGGTCCAAACAAGGCCATTACCTATGCAGGGTGTGTGCTCCGGTTCTTCTTTGCCCTGGTCTTCGCAGCCACAGAAACTCTGCTCTTGACAGTGATGGCCTATGACCGCTATGCTACTGTCTGCCTCTGTACTACACAGTCATGGTGCATCCTCAGCTTTGCCAGAAGATGGTGCTTACCTGCTGGCTGGGTAGCCTTGGCAGTGCCATAACTGTTTGCTCCTTGACTCTCACATTGCCAAGATGTGGGTACCATATAGTGGACAATTTTTATCTGTGAGACACCAGCATTAATGACATTGGCTTGTGCTCATACAAGAGTGATTCAGATTGTTATCTTGGTTTTTGGAGTTGTATCTCTTCTGTCCCCTGTGTCACTGATTTGCATTTCCTATGAAGTAATCACTCAAGCTGTCATTCGAAGGCAGTCAGCAGCAAAGTAGAGAAAGGTCTTCAGTACTGCAATTTCTCCTCACAGTTGTAGCTCTGTTTTTTTTTTCTGTGTGTGTGTGTGCCAGCTATTTACATGTACATGACACCACGAGTGCCACCTCTGAGGGGGAAAGTTCTTTACACTTTTTTACATGATCATCACACCCAGCCTTAATCGTCTGATCTACACTTTAAGAAACAAAGATGTAAAGCCTGCAGTGAAGAGAATTCTGGGGATAGAGATGCAGTAAGCAAAGTTCAGACTTAGGTGGCAAACATGTCAGTGTGTACAGCATGTGAGAAGTATTGACTTTTACATAGAGAGGACTTAACAGTCCATTGCTTTAAGGTGACATTCACTATTTTTCAAAGGGTTTTCTATTTTTTAATACTAATTTTATTGAGAAAGAAGTAGCAATGAGACACTTTCAAAACAGATTAGTAGGATAGTTACAATAATTAATGCATTGCATATTGTCTTTGTAGTAGTTATCCATAGTACTAGATGCAGACATGCTATCTTGTCTAAACACTATTAGTTCAAAACTTTCTTCTCATTGAACTAAGAGAAAGTAGCTATATATCTATGCTAATTATTTTGTATATACATATATATTTTTTCAGTACAAAATAGTCCTTCATTTATATGCCCTTTATTTCATTCCTATTCATATATTTTAGGTGCATGAATTCAGCAAAGTAATCCAATGTAGTCCGGTAAACCATAATAGTAGTGGGTTATCCGCAGGACTGGCAATAAAAATGGAAGGTGTAACACAACTAAAGGGAAAGCAAGAACTGAAGGTTTAAACAATGAAGAAAGGGCAAGGAGAAAAGCTAGGAAACATGGCAGTGACTAAACCAAACATTTATATGCACAAGATGGCTAAGGCAATGATCCTGAGAATCTCCATCAGGTTTTTGAAACTAGCAGTTAATTGGTAGGATTCTCACCCTGACTAACTATATATGCTGTTACCTATGAACTAAGCAACTGCACTGAAGATAGCAATGTGTAACACGAGGGTCATGCTTGGAATCCCTGTCTTTCTGGTCTTCTAACAGCATATTGCTTCTAATGTCATATCAATTACTGCTATACTGTCTCTCAAGTAAATGTTTGTTTAAAAAAAGGATAATAAATGAAACCAAGAGACAAGAAAAAAGTGTCATAGGACTGTCCTGCTACAATGTTGTATATGGTTAAATTTCTAAGTTTCAGTGTAAAACTTTGTAATTTTATTTCTTTTTTTTACTATTTTTAAATTTTTTTCACATTCTGTATGGATTTAACGTTTAGCATATCAATGATTGATGAAAAATACCTTTTCCATGTTATGTTTAAGGCATTTGACATTGAGACAGATACTGATGTTAAGCTCAACAGCCTATGTTTTAGGGAAATAATATCATTAAGCTTCTTTTCTGGAGGGTTAACAATTTAAGATTGCAGACCAGAAAATTAGAGAAAAAGAAGGGCTACAAGGATAGCCCACATTTTGGCCCTAGCCTTTCAGGGTCAGTGTGGACTCAGGACATAAGAGAACCTTTACTATAACATCCTGTAACTCAGTGGTGTACCAAATTTTCTGATGAAGGAGTTTATGGATCCACAGAGGAAAGTAATTGACAGTGTAGAGCATGCCTAAGGAGAGTCACCTGGAGAGAAAACATTCTCTCAGGCTTTCACAGAGAGCAAATTGGTCAAGCAATGGCTGTGACTCATCCCCATGGCTGACACTGACAAAGGATCTACAAACTGCAGTATAGGGTTTCAGGATAAATTCTGAGGGTATTTGACTGATCATGTCAGATACAGAAGTTACATTCATTGCTATAGAGGTCTTGCTTTATCTTGGTCTTAACCATCCAGCAGAAAATTATAAAAGCAAGGTAGAACAAGTAAAGCCATATTAATATGCTGAGCTGTAAAAGGCTCAAGTCAGGGCCAGGGAGATGGCTCAGTAGAATAAGCGCTTCCCTGGCAAGCACAAGGGGCCTGAGTTTAATCCCTGGTTCCACAAAAAATAAATAAATAAATAAAAAAGGCTCAAGTCAGCAATTTTGACATTGTCAAAGGGTTTTCTAAATAGAATACATTAGAAACCTCAATTAGGAGATACAGACAAAACAAAATGCTATATATGATGTTAAGGGAACAATGCTAGCATAGACTATTCTGAAACAGTACATGTACTCTGCATATTACTAAAGAGACAATGTAATAATAGAAATCCTATGAATAATATATAGAAATAGAACAGTGTAAACATAATTAAGAAAAGAGGTCCTGCGGAGCCATCGCCCGCGCCTGTGATCGCCCGCAGCCTCATCAGCAGCCGCCCGTGGTCTGCCGACCATGGATCCTCTCAAAGTAAACGAGCTTCAGGCCTTTGTGAAAATGTGTAAGCAAGATCCGAGCGTCTTGCACACTGAAGAAATGCGCTTTCTGAGGGAGTGGGTGGAGAGCATGGGGGGTAAAGTACCACCTGCTACTCAGAAAGCTAAATCAGAAGAAAATATCAAGGAGGAAAATGCAGATAGTAAGAAGATGGGGAAAAACATAAAGACAGACGAGCCATCAAGTGAAGAAAGTGATTTAGAGATCGACAATGAAGGTGTAATTGAGCCAGGTACTGATACCCCTCAAGAAATGGGAGATGAAAATGTAGAGATAACTGAGGAGATGATGGATCAAGCAAATGAAAAGAAAGGAGCTGCCATTGATGCTCTAAATGATGGTGAACTACAGAAAGCCATTGACTTGTTCACAGATGCCATCAAGCTGAATCCTTGCTTGGCCATTCTGTATGCCAAGAGAGCCAGTGTCTTCATCAAATTGCAGAAGCCAAATGCTGCCATTCGAGATTGTGACAGAGTCATTGAAATAAATCCTGATTCAGCCCAACTGTACAAGTGACAAGGGAAAGCACGCAGACTTCTGGGCCATTGGGAAGAAGCAGCCCATGATCTTGCCCTTGCTTGTAAACTGGATTATGATGAGGATGCAAGTGCAATGCTTAAAGAAGTTCAGCCAAGGGTGCAGAAAATTGCTGAACATCGGAGAAAGTATGAGCGAAAACGTGAAGAACGAGAGATCAAAGAAAGAATAGAAAGGGTTAAGAAGGCTCGAGAAGAGCATGAAAAAGCCCAGAGGGAAGAAGAAGCCAGAAGACAATCGGGAGCTCAGTATGGCTCTTTTCCAGGTGGCTTTCCTGGAGCGATGCCTGGTAATTTCCCAGGAGGAATGCCTGGGATGGGAGTGGGCATGGCAGGAATGTCTGGACTCAATGAGATTCTTAGTGATCCAGAGGTCCTTGCAGCTATGCAGGATCCAGAAGTTATGGTGGCCTTCCAGGATGTGGCTCAGAATCCTGTAAATATGTCAAAATATCAGAGTAATCCAAAGGTTATGAATCTCATCAGTAAATTGTCAGCCAAATTTGGAGGTCAAGCATAATGCTTATCTGACAAAGCCCTTCCTAAAAGAAAAACAACCTCGATCATTTTTTTTTAACCTCGATCATTTAATGGATGTTGCAATAATACGAGCCAGTGTACCTCTGACCTCATCAGGAGAGCTGGGGTGCTGTGAAGATGATCCCTTCCCCTCCTTACCAAATGGAGCTGAAGTGTTTTACAATGGTTTTCCATTAGGGTATTCATTCAGATAATGTTTTCCTACTAGGAATTACAAACCTTAAACACTTTTTTTTGGTACCGGGAATCGAACTCAGTATGTCACACTTGTCAGGCAGGTACTGTGCCACTGAGCTATATCCCTGATCCTTAAACACTTTTTAAAACTTAAAACATATTTAAAACTTAGAAGGTCTATCAACCCCTACATTTTTTAAAAATCATTTTTAGATTTTTTCCCTTTGAATTACTGGGCAAGGAAGATACTTATGTACAAACATTTGTGAATTTAGTAGGAATAAAATGAAGTTTTTTTGGGTGGGAAGCAAATCTCATTTAAGAAGATAAAGTTTGAGTTAGATATATGGTTACTGAGGCATTTTGATTTGGCTTCTTAATGATTTCTTTTTTAAGATGATTTATTTCAGTATAACTATTGGGATCACCAGTATTTGAATATGATCTGGTTAGGGACTGGAAGTACTGGGAGTACAGCAACAGTCTTATACCATGTTTTCTGTACTGTGTACCCTTGTACAGTTTGCATTTAAATCTTACACTGTGCTGAAGGAGTGATCTTTTTTCTAAGCCACAGTAGAGTTGGGTTATTAGCTCTGTTCTTGTCCAAAATATCAAATAAATGTTTTATATTATTTCCACTAGGGGAAAAACAAGAGTATGTTTCTTTTTATATATCTGTTAAAAATATTTTCTTCATCAGAAAATGACCAATTCTGTTTGCTTTCTGCTTGTATTTTCTCCTCTAACCTTCTGGAGCTAAAGGTAATGCTTTTTTCACTAGCATCATCAGTATTATGACCGTTCCCAGTATAACTGAGCAAGCATATTTAATGCTGTGTTTAATTTAGTAATTTGTGTGTGAGAGATAATACCCGTAACAGCTGTGGTTTTCTTTCCTTGGCCTTGAAATTGCTTGTCATACTTGAGTTGGGAAAAATCTTGTCATATCGTGACATTGGAAAGAGATTCCCTTTGGCATTTGATCCTTAACTTAGGAAATACATATTGTAGTTACGGTTTATTCAGGAGTACTCATTTTT